TATATAGAAGATAAGGCTTTCAAGGCCTACCCTAACACCAAGCAGGAATTTAAACAGCGACTCCAGCAGGAAAATTGGATTTCATGTATCTTCTCCAGCTATCAAGGCTGATTTTTGAACATGTTTAGCTCGGTCAAATTTTCCTCCATTAGCATTAGAAATCTAATAGCTCTAGTTTCCATCATACAAATATGCACCTTCTCTCATCAAAATATCACCTACAAGGAAAAAGGGTCATAGAATTTTATCTACATGTAACTTTGAGCAAACAAGTTCCTGCTACAAGACACTACGTTGATTTTTGGAAAAGGAGTTAATGTATTTTACAAGGCCTTAGTGCACATGACATATTAAGATTTTTAATATATTTTTATATATTATTATACAAACATGTTACTCTCCAAATGTCATATGCAAAATTATACTAATATTCTGGATTGCGTATGAAAATTGAACATCTGGCAAAAATCTTCAATAATTTTAAGATCCAAGAAACAAGCATTTAATTAGTTCTTACTATTCACCCCTCCATTTACTCCCTGCCTTATGCCTGCCTCCCGCCTTGTGTTAGTGGCTGCGTTCCAAGTTGGCACTGTCGCAGGTATTCCTTTGTGTCTGGCAATTGTCTGACTTCACATTCTCTTTTACTTCACTTCCAAACATTTTTGTATTTCCTCCATCCATTAGATGACAAACGTCTCAAGGACTGCAACCGTGTCTCATTTGTCTTTGAACTTCAGCACCTAGAAGTATTAGAACATGATCAGTGTCAAGTAGAAGATTGTGAAATTGAACCAAGTGAGTGTTGGAGGGAAAAGGAGCAGTCCTCTTCCAGGACCCCCTAAAACTCTGGAGGCCCACAGTGTGCTCCTGACTTCTTAAGCAAATCCTTGATTCAGCAATTCTGCCTCTCCTGTCAACTCCAGCTCCTTACTCTGCTCCCACCATTAGCCGTTAAGTTCACAGCACATCCAAAGCCCACTGTTAATGGCACAGAGAACGGTCAGGGCTTCTCACCTGTTTGCCTTCAAGCCTCTACTTACCTATATCCACTTCTACCTTAGAATAAAAATAAACTTTTCATGATTACTGAAGTTAGGGTATCAAGGTTGTTCCTAGACATTTCAGTAGTAAGTATTGGCCCATGTCAAACATGATATATAGGCACAAAGTAAGCCTATGACTTGAAGTAAAAAATGGGAACAAATATTTTATTTAAAACCCAATATGTACTCTGCTCTGTGCTACATATATCATCTATAATGTGGAGAAAACAGAACTTATACACCAAATAAGGATCTGTACTTAGTAAGAATCCATAATTATGTTTCAGCAGTGGGACTTCAGAATGTAAATAGACTTTTGACATAAAAATTATATTTTAAGAGGATTATTTTATAATGTTAAAATAGTCAATTCAGCAGGAAGATATCACAACTCCAAATTTGAATAAATTTAATCACATGAGCTAAAACTAAATAAAACAAAAAATGGACAGAAACTGTATATATCTACACATATACTTTGAAATTTTAACCTCTTAGAACAAACACACACACACCCCCCAAAAAACCAGAAAAATATGGATTTAAACAGCACAATTAGAAATCAATAATAAAATAACTTTAAAAAGCTCAAAAATTTGGAAATTAAATAACATAACCCCAAATGGAAATTTATTTTGAACTTTAATGGTAATGAAAATATAATACATTAAAACACCTGAAATAGATAAAATACTACTTAGAACAAACTTTACAACAATAAAAGCGTATAATAGAGAAATTTAGCAAAGCCAAAAGCTGGTGTTTTAAAATGACTAATACAATAGATAAGTTCCTACCAATACCAATTATAAAAAAACACAGACTAATCACTATCAACAGCAGAAAAGTGAGTACACTACGGATCTTACAGAAATTTAAAATGTAATGAAAGTATATTACAAACAAATCCATGCTAACAAATGTGAAAAGTAATATGAAATGTACAAATTTCTTGAAAACACAAATTTAAAAACTGACATGAGAAAAAATATTAATGTACTTATAATTAAAAATATTTCCATGAAAATCCCCTTCCAAAAAGAGATGAACATGTTTTATAGAATCAGCTCAACTCTCCCCCACCATACCAAAACATGGACTTGAAAGGAAAATTACATGCTAAATAAACTCTTCCATGATTGCAGAAGCAAAATCCTGTGCAAGGTAGTAAACTGAATCCATCAGAATAGAAAGTACTAATGCTGTAAGACCCAGTGGAGTTTATTTTAGAAATGGAAGTTTGGTTTAATATTTGTAATTCAATCAATGCAATTCACTGTATTAAGAGCCAAAAAAAATAAAAAGGAAAAATAACATTGTCACAGCAGATACATAAAAAAAATTGTGATAAAATTCAAAATTGATTCATTAAAATGCAGTTGTTAATTTGCAATATACTAATATAATAGAATTTCCTAATTTTGATAATAGGTATCTCTTTCCCCTCAAAAAAGCAAAAATTATTGTGATAGTCATAGCAGTCATTGCAATCCTTGGATGGATTGTTAGTATTTAAAATCTGTAACTTTTAAAATATATTAAGAAGATATTCAGTAGAAGACATATTTAGGCTTAGATAATTGCTAAATAATTTATCTTACAATGTATAAAGTATCTACAAATAGAGCAAGGATGATTTTCTTTTTTCATGAAAACAAGTTATATACAAGTTATATTACTGATTTTTTTAAAAAGAGATTTTCATAATAGTCAGCTTTTTAGAATTTTATATAAATTTTTCAGAAAACAAAGTTATTTATTTTAGAAAACAGTGAGTTTTTAACACTCATTAATTTTACTCTATTAAGTAATGTGCTTATTTTTCCACACTTATCACTTAGTAATTAAAAATAAACATCATACTGTTTGGTATATTTCCCCTTTTTTGCATCTTATATTCAAATTCAATTATTTGTATATATTTCTATTTCTTTGAAAGGCTAGCAAAGGTAAACTAACATTGATACCACTTTAAAAATGTATTAATGACTATAATATATTACAAAGTCCTTAGAAACTTAAATTTCCTATACATTATTGAATCATTTTGCTTAAATAAAATCTACAGACTCACCAAAATAATAGAAATTCAAAACAAATATATCAATTTTCGAATTTAATAATTCATGAAATATGGAATTTGCTATTGTCATGAGGTACTATTTCATTTGTGATGAATTTTAAAATACCTATTTAGACATCAAGTTCCCTGCTTTTTTCCTAAATCCTCATAATACATAGTAATCAATCAATACATATCAATGAAATTTCAGTTCCTCTCTAATGTACATAATAAAAACTCAAAAAAGAAAATCATAAAAATTTTACAGTTACAAATGTGAAATCAGCAACATTCAGGCATCAGAAATACCTTGACCCAGAAGAATCCTCCATGTGTGACTGACAGGAAGGGGAGATGGATGTGTTAATTTTATGCTTAATTGATTGCCAAGATAGAGCTCACAGAGCTGAAATCCAATGAAGACGAAGAAAAGTACCAGTGGAAGAGAAACTCAAGCAGGTATCATGTAGTCGGTGTGTTGTAATCCTCCTCATGCCATAAAACTGGTACTTTTTACCTCTTTCTCATTATTAAAAAATACTTTTCATGCTAGCTTAGAAAGTTTACAGATAAAATGAGGATTTACTTTAAGTAATATCATCTGTTGTCGAATTTGTTAGAGCACAGCTTTCTGTAAAAAACTTTTAAAGCTTTTACCCGTTAGGAACTTACTGTACCCTAAATTGTGTCACCCAATCCCAAATGACTTTTCAGGGCCTCCTACAGGAAGCATCTGCCTCCTTGCCACAGCAACATTGGGTTTGAGTTATCCAAATCATCCCAATGTCATATATTCACTGGGCATTTCTTTCCGTTTAATTAAAAGTATCAACTTTCTAGTATAGTCTTCCACTAAACTATTTAATAAAATAATAATTATTAGCTAATAACTTAGTGATAATTTAGTGATTAAATATTTGTTGAGAAAATAAATGAATAAATGAGTGAATTACGTATGAAATTCTGACACAGGCTTGTATTTACAACTGATTTTTATACTCTTGTATGAATCACTAGCTATATATTAAATACACACTAAATACTTTGATATAAATTAAAAAATGAGTAAATTGAATCTTCCAGTTTTCAGGGAGATTACAATTCAGTTCTTCATTACAACTACTATTCCAATGACATTTTACAAATTTATAAACTTTGCTGAGTTGAATCCATGGCAGTTTACTTAGAAATAAATAAATAAATAAATCAATAACCAGTAGAGCTACTGGCTTATTGTTAATAGGCAGTTTGCCTTCATAGAAAGGCACCTTGTATATTTTCCCATTGGCTGGGTTTAAGGTAAAATAATGGCCTCCTTTGGATGTGCCATAACAACAAAGACACCAAGAAAAAGACACAGACAGTCCAGGTGAGCGTATGAAGATACAGTGTGTTTCTTCACTAAAGAAGGGTCAAGCACTGATCTTCTCGGAGTGGAATCCGTACCAGGCATTCAACTATAAAGGCTGAGCAGAAGTTAGAGAGGAAATCAATATTTCACCACTGAGTATTTTTAGAGTTTAAAAAGATAGGACACAGAAGGCTCTGACAGAGAGCAAGTGAATGGTGCACAGTGTGTGTGTGTCTGAAATGTCTAAAAATGCTTCACTTGACAAAGCAGTAGAGAGTTATTCAGAGTAGCCGGCTTTGATAACTGTTTTTAACCTGTCTTTCCTCAGATTTGGACGCAGAGACAAACTGTTATGTCCTGTGTAGACAAAGTCTACTGCAAATTATGGGTTTGCCTGGATCCATTTTTTAAAAAGAAAATAATTTTAATTACATGTAATGACTATTACTTGTAAAATAATTAGAAAAATGCAAACTGGTTCAAAGAAAAAGTTGTCTTTTATTCAGATAACCAGAAATAATCACAGGTAATATAATGAGTACATTGATTCATTCAGCTGTGTTACTTCACAAAATGGACTGTCTCTCTCAACTGATGTATTTCATAAATGGAATTTCAGACTGTAATTTTTAATGGCATTAAAATATTTTATTATATGGGGATGCTGTAACATATTTCAGCAATTCCCAACAATTCTATGGGATATTGAAAATCTATCCAGTGTGGTGCTTTTATAAGCCATGCTGTGGTGAAGGTGGCAACTTTTTTTAATTCATTGCAATTTATGCTGAACTTCTGAGATGAAATCCTGGGAGTAAAACTCGTAATATTTAAGGTCAAATTATCATCAGAGAAGTTAAAACAGTGATTCCCCATCTGCACCAGAAATTACCCTTTTATTAATTTGCATTTTTTGCAACTTGGGCTGTTCTTATGTACGCTTTTGTGAATTGTTGGTATCTGTGGCGATATAGCTGACCTCTTGTTCCTACATATTTGCTCCCCTTCTCTGCATTTGGATTAACAGCCCCTCCACCACCTAATACTATGTAACTTTTCAGGGCCTCCTGCAGAAAGCATATGCATCCCTGCCTCCTTGGCAGTGAGATTGGTTTATCCACGGTGTATGGTGTGTGTTTAATTTTCTATATATTATGATGCTTTGACATCTTAAAAAAAGTCTTCCTGCCTGGGGAAGGACTGCCCCTCCCGGGGCTAGCTGATTTCGGTGGGGAGAGAAGGGGAGCTCAAACAATAAACACAGCTCTGGGAAAATGTATTCTGAAACACCTCGCTCTCTATTTGGTGGTATATGAGGCAGGATGTGTTAGGGCATGCTAACGATTCCAAAATCTGGGCACCTCATAATGTTTTATTTATTTAATCTCACACTGCATGTCCAGTACATGTTGTCTAGAGGTTTAGCTCCATGTCTTATCTCTCTGGAATCCAGGCTGATGGAGTAACCACTGTCTGAAAAAAAGGGAGAGGGAAAGAGAGAAATGATAAATTGCACAGTGACTCTTCAAGTGCTTTTTTCTGGGTAAAATATTCATCTCCACTAGCATTTCATGGACCAAAAACAATGCAAATGAGCACAGCTAACTCTCAGCGGAAATGTAATTCAATCCTGGACAGAACATCTTAAATATCTGAGAAACAGCTA